GTTGCTATAATTAGAAGAAAAGCAATTACCGTAAAATCCGGCGTGTTACGACCACCGCCGTATAAAGCGCACCTATACTTTAAAGCTGGAATTTTTATATATAATGTTTAGTTATATTCGCCATATAACACTCGCATCCCTTTTTTACGAATAAACCTGAAATGATCTTAATTTATGATCATTTCAGCCAAATGATCTTTATATTTTGAAGTCGCTTACTCCAGATATTATTTGAAGCTTTAAAAAAAAAGAAAAAAGAAAAATAGCATACTTTTAAAACTACAACCCGTTAAGTTCATCAGGAATGCCTTTTCTTTTAAATAAACAGCGTTTCTTTATGAGTAGAAGAAAAATGGTTTCTAATCTCCTCTTTTTCTTATTTTTAAAACTCTCATTTTTATACCTGTTGTATAATGCGCACCCGTAAATTTCTATCTTATTTTATGTGTTAAAAGTGCGCGTTATACGCCGGATTTTATTTATTACTAATATTTATTTGGATAACATAAACATATATTATATATATATATATTACTCGAAAAACACATGAAATATTAACTATTATACCTAAAGGAACCCTATTATAAATGAACAGTCCAACTTTTGCCTTTGCCCCTTTTTTTTAGGTTAACATTTAAACCAGTATATTATCTAAAAAATTTTTAATGTACCATGTTTTTATAACGGACTAAAAAGCATTTTTGTTTTCGTCTTTTCCATTTTCATCTTTCTTTCCTTCTTTTCGTTTTTTTTCCTTCTTTTTTCACATTTTCATGCATTGCCATTCACTTCTGAGCTATGGTCCAAATTTCTGGCTGATCGGGAAATTAGTTTAAAATCAATTACAAAATTCCACCCGGACAGACATACAAGCCTCTTTGAGGACCCGAGTTCAAGACTAGAACTTTTTTTTTACTTTTTCATGCATTTATCACCCACTTCTGAGCTGTGGTTCAAATTTCAAGCCTCTAGATCATCGGGAATTTAGTTTCAAATCAATTACAAAATTCCATCCAGACAGACAAGAAAGCGAGTTAATAAAATCATAGTAATTAATAATTATTTTATTTATTTAAATGATTTCTTATTAAAATAGCAACTAACTGGTAATTGGTAATTAATATTTAAAATCAATATATAAAACAGTTTTTTATTTCTTTTTTATATATTGCTTACACACAACGAGCTGCCTCACGTTAGTTGTAAAATTTCAATCAAATTGTAAAACTGCACTCAAAGAATTACTATTGCGGTTAGCTAAAATCAACTTTAATTCGTCATTTCTAAATTCAAACTCCTTCACATTCAAATTGAGCTCAGTTACAAGGCATCAAACAGTTAATAATACACAATAACGAGAGTTTTTCGCGCGTGGCTATTTGATCTGCTTTCTTCACTTAGTTGGCAGGTTGACTGGTTAAGTGTTCACATGGTCAAAATAGCACGCACTATTGCCAACAAATCGATTTTTTGAAAGCGAGTTAATAAACAAGTACATAATATAAAAAAAAATAGTTTTTAAGTCAATTCCTACTTAGATCAACAACGAAAAATTTTACTCTTTAGCTACTTTCTATTAAATAGTTACAATTAATATAAATATGTATATACATAGGACAGAATCACAACATTAAGTGGTAATTAGTTTTTTAATTATCATTAAAGTATCGTATTGACCTTTTAATTTCAGTTCAACTGAATGCTTTAACACGTGAGAAAATAACATTTTCAAGTCTTGACACAAGTCGCCGAAAGGGTCGCTGAGTCGCCAACGTGGCTGTATTTGTAATTTTTTAAATAATTAGTTTTAATCCATTAATTTTTATTAATTATAATTAAGTTATTGTATTGTCATCCAAAATGATCCTATATATAAAATTTCAGCTCAATTCAGTGCTTTAAAATTATTTTATTAAAGGTTGAAAATTCCACCAAGATAAATAAATAAATATACAAATATATAAATAAATAAATATATAGACAGTGCGAGCTAATAGTAGGAATTGAAAAAACTTGGTAACCTGGAGGGCCCGGCCCGTCTTTGATCCCAGAGCCACGAAATTATACACCTAGACGCAACTCGACCCATGCTATCGATAGGTGGTCTTAATTCGTCTAATTTCGTATCAGTTACGGAGCCTTTATCGAAATCAGGGTCCACCATTTAAAAGGCCCGGGGTCTAAAATAAAACTTTTTTTTTTTCACATTTTCATGCATTGTCATTCACTTCTGAGCTATGGTCTAAATTTCAAGTCTCTAGCTTGTCGGAGTTGAGTTGAGTTTGGTGTTTTATGGCGCAAGAGCCAGTATTGGCTATACTGCGCCAAATATTCATAGGTCTGTGGTCTGGACGGGAAAAGAAGAAAAGAAGAAATTGGATGACAAGATGGAGGGTCGAAAATAGAGAAGGGATCACTGGGGTACCCCGGGGTCGTGACACCCGTGTTTACCAAAGATAGTAAACCCCTTGGGAAAAGGAAAGGATCACTAGGGTACCTCGGGATTGTGACCCCCGTACCCACCTAAAGAAGGTGAGCCCCCTGAGGGGCTCTAGCTTGTCGGAAAGTTAGTTTAAAACCAATTACAAAATTCCACCCGGAAAAACAAGAAAGCGAGTTAATAAAAACATGGTAAAATAATTATCATCGCGCGTGAATAAATTTGCCATGAAAACTTATACGCTGTTTCAGTCGGTGCATATAGAGATGCAGGAGTTCATCTCAAATTTTTCGTATTTTTACTTATTTCTTTTACTCCGTCATGGCCTCAAGATATTCTAAACATCTTGAAATTGGAGAATATGCTTTGTTTTTCTCAAAAATTGCAATTTAAATAGCCAATGGTCACTACTTTTTACACATGACGAGTATACTCGTCATGACGCAAAATCCTACAACTTCTCCATGACGAGTATATTCGTCAGTCACAGTTAACTGGTTAATACAAAATGATGTGAAAATTGATTGCATGATTTCATTATATTTTTTAAGGAATGTACTTTTCATACTATTGGAATAACTTTGTTATAACATTAACAATGTTAAGTATAACAAAAAAAAAAAACCTGTAATATAATTCCGTTTTTTTTCTTTATTTAAAAAACTTACTAGAAGTTGAGCGTTTTTAATCTCAAAGCTTAATAATGGATTGATAAGTTGCAACAAGTAGATCACGTGGGTAAGAGAGTTGATGGAATGAAGATTTATCTTTAAAAAATAACAACTTTTAATTTCTTTATCAACTTTTATTGAAGCTAATGGGGAGCGAGTCAGTTTTAGCCTACTCTAAAAGTTATGAAAAAAGAAACGTATCATATTAAATGCAGATGCTCAGCTTGATACCTTGAACTCGAACCATGAGATTCCTAACTCTTTTTCTAGATACACTACTATTTCAAATATGAAGTATAATTTAATCTAATGTCAATACCTCCAATAGCTATCTTCCCTTTTCCTCGAACTCAGTGTACTTATAACATTAAATAGTATTCTGCTTTGCGTGAAATGCGGTTCCTTTACAGAAGACGTTCTCAAACCAAGCAATTTATTGAAAGTATTTCACCTCAAGGATTAGTAGAAGGGTGCAAAGAGACCATGTTACAAAGTTATTTTAATTGTATATTGAGGCAGCGTTTATCCACATGTGGTGCGTGACAACTCTACGAGGGGGATGAAAGCATATTGAAAAGTCGAAAGCAAAATATTATTTAAAAAGAGCATTAATTTGCTGAAAGTAAGAAAACAAAATACATTTTGATATAATAAAAAATAAAATATACAGTTACACGGATATAATACATTTATAAATGTATCAGTACTGCTCAATGTATTTTATAATTAATTAAACAATACTAATTTAAGAACAACATTAATAATTACCAGTGACCACATGGGCTTGTCATATATAAAATTATATGCAAAAATTAACACTTATCTTTATAATTAATCCCACAGTTGCCAATTAAAAGCTACGTGATTCGCTCCCCAATGCTACCGTTTTCTACATAGGTGCACGTATGTAATATTTTTG